TGCTGCTTGACCGTTCCGGTACGACAGTGAGTTAGAAAGCTACACTAGCCAATGGTTGGGATTCTGAGATAGGTACCTTTTTCTAAAATCAGACAGATAATATATACTGTTTGGATCGTCGTGCTCTCTTTTCGGACATCTTTTATTATTTCTATTCTGACTTACATTTCATCACTGCACGTGTTGGGTTTCTCCATTCGATATCCAGATTTAAGTAAACTGCATAGCCTCGTAGGGGTTATCCCAGGGTATGGAGTACCCCCTGAAATGACAATTTAAACAATTTAAACATGAATGCTGTTTTACCAAAGAGTATAAGGCTTTTGTGCTATATTTTAAATTTGTCAGTTCAGGAGAGGAATCAAAATAACGAAATGAACAAGTTCACCATTATTGAGTGATCATTTCGCTAAGTGCATGAAGGGACACATGATCGGGATGCGCATGATCAGGCCCCAGTTTAAAAGGTGGATCGCACTGTCCGTTGTATAAATCTCTATCCAGTGGAAAGCGCAATTGGTTTCTCTAGTAATCCACTGGAGAGCGATTTGTCCATTTGATGGCGTTATCCACTTTTTGAACAACCGGGGCAAGGTCAATAACTTGTTGGCTCGATCAACATGAGCCCGCGCTATTCGCCCAGAAAGTCTCTTCTTAAAGAGGAACAAGACCGAACCAGAGAGAGCAGGAGAAATCCAGCCTAGAGAAAACTAGTACATAGTCGAGAGCAAATCGTTTTGAACAGAATGCTCAAACAAAATAAAAGCATTGGACATCGATGGTCTTCAGTTCCAGAGTTTTGCTTCTCGGCAGGGAGGAACGCCAAATAAAATAATAGGGCTCATTGTAGTAGCAGAGAAATAGGTACAGTTGACTTCCGATAACTCGAACCCTTGTCAACTCGAACCTCGCGCTAGGTCGAACAAAAGTCCATTTCCCCTGGATTTTCTTCATACATTTTCTGCAATTTTTCCCTCGGTAACTCGAACCGTTCTGTTGTACTTTTGTACTAACTATGGCACTTTGTAATAGAATTGTCGCACCATGTAATAACACTAGTCGCACTTTGTAATAAAAAATAGTAAGGTGTCTGACAAAATCAAGAAGTTAGCAAACACATTTATTATCTTAAACAATAACATCATTCATTGTTAAGAAGGATCTGGACTCTGGAACCTTTTCGTGGTATACTCACAGATGTCGAGTTTTCAATCAACTGTACACAGTTAATCCTCGTTTTACGTGACCCATAGGCTAGCTTTTCAGATTCTGCCGCGTATTTACTTCTCCTGTGGCGGTGTAGCGGGAAATGTCAGCGTTAAAAAAACTCATAAGAATGTTTGGGTCTTCAAGTGGTATCGTGTTTGAATTACGGCGAATAATCTCAAATCAAAAATAAGCAAATGCTTGGCTGGTTTTAGGTTATATAGGTCTTCGATGGTTTACCATCATGGTCATTTTGGCGAAACATGTAGCATACTTCAAAGCTCTCGGCAGAGAGACCTAATATTCAGCTAGAAAGAAAGAACTTGTGACAGCAAAAGGAGAAAAATTCCTTGTTATAACTTACATAGAAGATGGAATTTGAGCATAAACGTTGGAGACTCACAGAGATCTTCTGTAAGTATCATTGAACTTAAGAACTGATTTTCGTGTCTGCACTTTTTTACTTTTTGTTATCTTAGCTGGGCCACACTGATGACGATGATGATGATTGTCTGATTATGATAATGATTGTGGCACCGTGTTTTGCTCGATGTTTGTGATTTTTAGTTCTTTTTTTGGCAATAAACGCTAAAGTCTCGTTATATCTCTGGTCATATCCTCGCAAGGAATGAAACCGGATTACTTCGCTGCCCGTGCTACTAGTAAAACGTTTCTTATAGAGTCCAGGACACCTACTTTTATGAAAAACCGGATAATACCGATAGCAGCTACATTCCAATACAAAATCCCATCACTACGGACTCTCACTATTATGGAAACTATCTCATGGTCTCCAGGTGACGTTCGCATAGAAAGAGTGGTAGATCTTGAAGCCGGAATACCGCAGTTGATGCGATGTGAACACTTTCCTCAGCATCACTGGCCCGGCCCACTTGATAAATTGGTGCTGAAAACCGTTCAGTGGAATGTTATTATTATTATTATTATTGTTGTTGTTGTTGAGTTGCTGCTGTTGTTGTCAACGATGATACTTATTATTGGGTTACTTGTACTCCGACCATCCACTTCAAGTTTATTACAAAGTGCGATAGGTATTATAGAGGTATGACCGAACAAACCTTCAACTAACTCGAAGTAATTTTTGTTTCCCTTCAGATCATTTCTATACGATTTGACCCCGATAACACGAACCACGTTGTAAACGCGTGACATATCGGGATAAAAACGGTGTACTGAAGTCCCAAACATTGAATTTATTTCAAAACAAATTATTTGTCTTTACTATTTTTTCACTCCAGTTCAAATTCAGCGTCCATTCTTGTATACTTTGCTGCTTAACTGCATGCATTCCCTCCCCATCCATTTGCTTATTTTTCTTATTTCCGGTCATTTGCTTCAAACTCCCGATAACTCGAACCTTTTCCGATTTCCCTTGAAGGTTCGAGTAATCGGGAGTCGACTGTAGTGTTTGTGCTTGAATTTGATAACCAATGAAATTTTAACGATATTCTTAGGGATTTCCTTTGAGTCCCCTCATATATAGGAAACTGACAAGAGTATTAATCTTCCAGAAACAGTATACAAAGGTTTATAAGGCCAGCTTACCCATGGTGGCTAGTTCCCACAGAACAACTCCAAAAGACCATCTGCAATAAAAGGTAGCAGATAAATATCAAATTTGGACGAAGAAAAAATAAGTCTTTGTTGATCTCTACCCCAACCTAGTTCCCAGGGTTCTCTTTCGCCAGTCCCTTTCCATAGAACGAGGTTGTCTCGCTTCATGGAAATCCGGATTGCGAAAATTTTTGCTTAAGAATCTGGAAATTCGGAATCCAAACAAACCTAAACGTACACTATCGAAGATAAACTTAACATCGATGCAGGTAAGCATGTTTGAGCTGTGTTTTTAAACTAGGAATTATTTTGAATAAATAATAAAGTAATTAATGAATTCGGCTTTCGTAGGATATGAAGAATTAAGCAGATCTCGGAGGGTTTTATCCACCTCGGCCTTCAGCCTCGGTGGTTAACACCCCCGCCCCCCTCCCGATCTGCTTAATTCTTCATATCCTACTCAGCCTCATTCATTAATTGCTAATTACTATTCATTCAAAATATTTCCCCAATCTGATTGGCTAAAAGCACACACATAATTCACCATAACCAGTTACTGATGACCAAATTTGAATATATACGGCCTCGACGGATAACACCCTCTTCGATCTCCATAATTCTTCATAAGATACTCAGCCTCATTCATTAATTGTTAAATATTCACCTCCGAGCGAGTGGATAATGCGTAATTCGTGATCTTGAAAACAAACAGAAGCAGACATTTTACAAATATTAGACGAGGCTGTGCCTGAGAATGCAAAGAAGGCAACTAAGTATGGGCTGAAATTTTTTAAAGGTAAAAGAAGACTCCAAATTGTTAAAAAGTGTTTGGGGGTTTATTTGTTGACAACTGCCAATAAGCTTGAGTGACATTCATAACTTTTCATATCAAAAATTTGTTACAATATGAGTAATTTCTTTTTAGATTGGTTTTTCCAGCTAGACGAATTTACAGCAGATATAGAAGAGATGAACCAAGATGAAGCCAGCGAGCTAGTTAGATGCAAGATGCCTCGATAAACAAAAGCTACAGCAAACAGCGTGGTTCCCTCTACTTTGGCCGAAGAGGAAGGGGAAACCAGCATCAATTGACAAAATCAAGCCTAAAGCTCTCCAAAACTCCAAATTCCGGCCTGGATATTTTGAATATTTTGAGCGTAACAGAGAAACGCCAGGAGGAGTCTTTTCAACCAAAATCACCAAGGTGGTCTAGACGGCACCGTCGACCCATCTGATGGTAAAATGTTCGAAGGCAAAGGGCTTGCTAACTGTCCAATAGCAGTAGTGAAGGCTTTAATACCTGTCCCATTTAAATCCAAAATGTGAAGCACTCTTTCAGAGGCCTTTAACTCGTGCTAAATTTAAACCATTTTCTGATGTCATTTGGTATTCAACACTTCCTCTTGGCCATAACACGATCGACAGCATGATGAAGAATATGTGCCTCCGAGCTGGTATCGATCCTCCTTTCACAAATCACTGTGTCAGGTCGACCACTGTAAATATTTTGTCTTCTAAAGATATGAAAAATCGCCACATCAGAGCGGTCACGGGCCACAAAAGCGATGCCAGTTTCGAATCCTACAACGCTCGTCCAACGTTCGGGCAGTTCAAGCGCTAGTTAAGGAGATAAGGCAAGGACCAAGGCACGACCAATTCGTGTAATCAAACTGGAATACAACTAATAGCCTAGTAACAGTAACAATATGGCGGAAGCTAGGCTAAGAACGACAGATAACACATGCTAAGTCTTAGTACCGCTGACCGGTACTGGCGTGACTTCTTTTTTCCTTCATTTGTTTTTTTAAACTAAAGCTGAATACACATAACGTGTAAGCGACAAAACTGGAACCAAAAACATAGTGGAAAGTACTTTAAAGCACTACTTAAACTCCTAAACTGACTTAAACGTTACAGTTCAATAACAGTTCAGTTACAGTAACAGTAACAGTTTAGTAACCGTTCAGTAACAGTTCAGTTCAGTATCATAATCTTCAAAACGCGCAGGACGACGTTTGATGCGAGATGATCTCCCCAGGCCAGGAGGGAGAGGGTCTCCTGAAATGACTGCCTTCTCCAAAGAGGGGTCCACAGGGTAAGATGGCTGGGGAGCTGTGTCGTTCATGATGCGGTCGGCAGGAAAGGCAGGAGCAGGTGGTGTAACACAGCGAGGAGTGTTAGATAGATGCTGGGCTGAAGCAGAGATAGCATCAGGGATGTCAGGCATGCGAGGGTGGAGGGTGAGGTGTGGTATCAGGATCGTCTTCGTCATCCGAATCGTGTCCGCGGCACAGGCGAGGAACATGTAAGGGGTCAGCCAAGTCCGAAGGTACCTTGAAGCACTCAGTAAGTTTAACGCGGTACGATGAGCTACGTAATTGGCATCCAATGAACTTTTTGACGTCGCAGAATGGTGGATCTATGGTTACAACAAGGTAGCGGTCGCGGACTCGAGACTTGTTCCGATCGGAATGAAGGTACACTAAGTCACCAATATCAATTAAAGGAGTAGGATGCCTGTTGTGCAAGGGGGCTTTGGAGCGCTCACTGTGGGGGTGGTTGGATAGACGCTGCTCGTGCTGGAGGGCAATTAAATGGTCGTCGGCAAGGGGTAACTGCTGGTTTGGAAACTGGTCCCGCTGTTTCAACATTTCCCGAGAGGATAGGTCACGTGAACGGATACGAGAGTACAAGGCAGAAGTGGATACGGCGAGAGTGAGGGGAGAAACGACTCCGCCTTAAGGCTCCTGACAGAGAGGTTCCGTTTCCGACTCCCGGATTGCTCTCTCAGATAGGGGTTCTTGTTGGGATTTTTGGCCTGGCCAAGCTCAATTGTAATTCTATGCTTCTTTAAGAGAGGGTCAGTACGGATCACGGCAGGTGGGCCATCCTTAGGGCGCAATTCCAAGCATAGCTATACAATGGCGTCGCATAACGTCTGATGAGGCTCGTCTTCAAGAGACACACTGGAAGTGTAAGAGGTCACAGTCTCGCGGAGGACGAAGATAAGCTGGCGAGAACGTTTGATGACGTCTGCGGCGAAGGACCGACCAACAGCGTCGGGTGGTGGGGAAGTGGACTGGTCAATACGTGCGGTTAGAGAGCTTCGGATTGCTGCACAGGAATGGCACCCATCAGAGACACGAGAGACAGCCTTGTCCAGATCGAGAGCGTATAGATAGCGTTTGACGACCATTTTCAACTGGTGACAGGACGGGTGGCTGAGTTGTATGTGAAGAGCGGTCAGAAGGCCGTCCAAAGCTTGGCGTGGGACAATAATGCACTCTCTGGACGGTGGCAAGGGTTCATGACGCCGCATAACAAGAAGGAGGCCATCATCTGCAACTGACGCAACTTGTAAATCACGTTTGACTTCCTTTATGTTTGTGAGTTTTTTGGAAGGTCTCGTACCCTGAACGAAGTGAGCGTTCAAACTGAACAGCACTCAAACTGAACAGCCACCCAGGCAGGCCGGCTGGTAAACGGAAGGCGAACACTGCCTTGGAGGATATCTAGAAATAGAAACGGCTCGGACAACGGAGACCATGGTTCGAGAAATGAAGGAGCATACCTGACAGGTTTCGTTTTCACAGGCAGCGGCGTTTCGGCTTGCAAACTCTGACGAGAGGATAGCAGCGCCGGAGACGCGCCTGACTGAAGCTTGGTAGCGGCTCACAACAGACAAGATAGTGGATACACGGGGGCTGGCAGAGAACTCCCGCGGCAGAGTTTCTCATACGCTTGAACGCAAGGCTTACTGTCAGTAAGAATGCAGGCGTTCTTAACGGACTGAATAAGATACGGGCTAAAGTGCTTCGTTGCAGCCGCAATGGAGAGGGCTTCGACCTCGCATGGAAGCAACGTTGTTTGGGAGCCCCGCAATTTGGCGCAGAAGAAGCCAGAGACATGTAACTTGTCTCCGCGCGTTACATACAGGGTGGCACCTATTCCAGGGTTCCGGACTGCTCCATCAGTTACAATCCATAGCTGATCTTTTGGTCTGGGTAACGTGATTGTGAGTGCAGAAGAAAGATCGTTCTGAGCACTAAGGAATGCGGCTCTTAGATCATCGGTCTAGTTAATGGATTCCTGAGAAGGACGACCGGCTGCTACAGCATCCATTGGAGCCAGGTAACTTGTGAGCACCTTGGAATGACCCGGGAAAGGACTTTGTAAGCACCAAAAATCGAGCGACAGTGTTGGACACAGGTTACGTGGCGAAGGTGTTAAGACGGTGAGGAAGGCGGAAAGGGAGCCAGCATTCCAGATCCAGCCGAGACTAGTGGTAGTCTTGGGACTGATTATGGTCTTGTGGACAGACAAACGCAGGCTGCTCTTGTGTAGGGCTTGTAGGACCCTCTTCCAGTTGTGGAGTAGCTCTCGGGGTGTGTTGCCGCCGCGATGGTAAGGGCCTGCGGATCCATTGAAACCTGGGAACTGAGGGTCAAATACGGAGTCGTAATCATTGAGCAGAGATTGGAAGTTGGCTCTGACAGCCTCAGGGAGAATGCAGTCTGGGACTACCTGGACGGATGCGGAGTGACTAGCATGAGAGGGTGGTAACGGACGCCGCGTAGGAGACGGACTTGGTGACTCTTCTTTTGGTTCTAAGACAGGGGTGACCTGGCAGAAGTGTTCGTGACGCTTAAGCGTTCGAGGATCAGATGACAGGTTTGGTATGCGTATTGCCTGCACAACACTGGAAACGACATCGGGTTGCGGCCACAGCCGAAAGGGCTTGAGATTACGTAAAGTAGGTGCGTCAGTACGGGGCTCAAGTGCATACGCTGAATCAGGGAGAGCGTCGTCTGGGAGCTGTACTTCCAAGAATTCTCCAGGCTAAACAGTCTTGGAAGGAGCAGGAGCACAGAGAACAAAGGCTCTGCGAACGGTTGTGGGGGGACTGGGCGGGGCCTTGGACCCGTACGTGTTGGTGGAGCCATTGCCAAGTAGCACCTCTCTCTTGGCGGGCCTCCGTAAAAGGGGTCCCGGCAAGCACTTCGACATCAAGATCCTCTACGACAAGTCCCTCGAATGTAAAGTCGGTGTTGTCGCGGGTGAAGGATGTTCGTATCTCTCCGACCACCTGAAGCTGAGAAAAGCCATCTGCCTGCTGGACGGACTGAGCACTTGATATAATTGGACATACAAGATGTTTTGTGGTAGAGTGAAGGATCATATTTCCAGTTGCTCCGCTTTCAATGGTGATACGTACAACACGGTGACCATGAAAGACATCCATATAAGGAGATTGACGAGTCTGGACACGGTAGGCAACAACGTCAGGGGTAGGCAAGGTGGTTTCAGGACAGGGTGGATCAGGATCAAGGTCGCAGTTGGTGTCTTGTTCGTCGTCCAGTATGCAGACGATCTGTCTCGCTTTTACCATGAAGCGCCTGTCATTGTCAGCGCCATATAAGTATAATTATTATTATTATTATTATTATTATTATTATTATTTTTTTTTTTTTTATTAGGAAGGTACACTGACCGAGGAAGTGGTTTGTGTTAGAGCGACCGGCTTGCTTGCATAAGTGACAGACCTTGTCCTGACGGGGCTGTCTGGTAAGGGTCTTAGGGTCACTCCTGCCACCCGGACGGGAGAGGCGAAAGTCATCAACTACCGTGGCACGTAGAATCTTAGCGCATCTGAAGCGCGGAATTCCTCTAGGAGAGAACTAAGTGCCTGAGAGATCAGGGGTTTAATTGAGGCGAGGGTGCGAGATCTCAACTCCTTGCCGTAGCGTTGCTTGACTAAACGAGGGAGACTGTGGTGAATGAGTCTCAACCAAGTAAGAACGACAAAGTTTTCTAGGGTAGGAGTTAGTTCCTTATTCTCTGTAACATGTTCACCATGGTGAGTTAAACCGTTAGCGTGTAGTAAGGAATCTTCCACAAAAGCCATAAAGGCGTTGGTACAGATCCTCAGGGCGCTCATCTACTGCAAGGTGTATGTTAGAAAACTCGTAAATTGTGCGCCAGTGGCCTGGAAAGCGAAGCGTTGGCGAATAGTTTGCCAGATGTATTCGAGTGACGTTGAATTTTTCACCAAAGTGCTTTGGGAAATGATAGGGCAGTAATTCGCCATCTGACCTAGTATCAGCTCGAGAAAGTTGACTTTTTGTCGAGCGGTGAGGCGTCGAGCAAGAGGTACGGGATCGCTATCGGCTTCGAGTCCTCGAAGTGGATGGGCTTTGGTCTTTTTCAACCATTGAACGCCATCGGCTAGGAAGGGGGCGAAGTTGCTGTCCAATAATAATGTGTAAAGCAGATTTTGCCTTCAATTCTCGAAGCTATTGATAGTTTCCACCTTGGAAAGGCACCACTGTTTCGGTGCGCGGTGAGAAGACGCCATTACACACGAAGTAAAACGCCGGGAAGTGTTTTCACAGCAAAGGATACACTGTTTTGGCTCTTGCGGTCGAGGCTTAAAAGTTACTTTCTACGGTAAAAAATCAGGCTTGAGCTGAACCGAACGCTGCCACCACCCCAGTTAAGGAGATAAGGCTACAACTAAGGCACCAACAGTTCGTGTAAAGCTTTAATCAAACTGGAATACCACTAACAGCCTAGTAACAGTAACAATACGGCGGACACTAGGCTACGAACAACAGATAACGCATGCTAAGTCTTAGTACCGCTGACCTGCACTGGCAAGGATATGTCTTCGGCGATTACAGATTTCATCAACTTCTTGAGACCTGACAATCAAGTCGCCACTAACCCGCTAGCAGAAGTGAATCGTTCTCCCTTGGAAGCAGTATCCAATGCAGTTCTCTCATTGACAAGCACATCCACAAATGTCCAGGAGAACATTTTTGTTCAAGAACACATGTCGACTAACGCTGCACAGGGCATCGTTTCTGGTGGCTCCTACTCCAACTGCTCGTTCAATTTCCACTTTAATTAACTAAACTAATTTAAAAGAGGATTTTGGATGTTCTTTTCAGTTCAGACTATTAATTTAGGCTTTCTTTGAGGCCATTTTGAGCATTTTTAAAATATCTTGTGGAGAAAAAGCTCCAGCAGAGATTTACCACGTTTGAACTTTCTGTAAATAACTCTTGCGCATGCACTGTGCATTCATCACGCATGAATTGACATACCATTAAATTTCCTATAATGGTTTTCTTTTGAATATTGTCGAGATCACTTCGTGCGTATATACTAAAACAATTATTCTTTTCAATCTCGGTGAATAGTGGCTTTAAGAATATTTACCTCCATTTCAAAGAATAATTGTTAGATATTTCTCAAGAGAAACAATGATTATGGTGGCTACAGATAGAGTAATGATCAAAATTGCGCTCTTCTGTCCTACAGTTATCTATCCTAAACAGTATATTGCAGAGTTTATGACATCGAGGACCTCAATGTATGTGTTGGCAGACTACGAAGACACACAGCATCACAGGTAGCCCAAGCTTGGGCTTCCTGTGATCGCATTAGCATATACTTACACGTCAGTCTTGAATGTAAAAATGCCGCTTTCCAACGCTTCAGGTGCCATCCATTTCATTGGTAGCTTATTTACACTTGTGACTTGATATAGTTCACTCTCATTTGTGTGACGCAACAAACCGAAATCAGCAATCTTTACCGCTCTGTCTTCACCAAGAAGGATATTACGGGCTGCCAGATCACGATGAAC